TATAGTAGGTTGAATTGTAGGCTTGCAGTTTATTTTCCCCCTTGTTTTTACATTGCATATTATGCTGCTTTGTTTTTTTTATATCGATCTAAATAAGGGATGACTAGTACTTGGACAATAAGCTCAGTCAGGCTTTTTTATACTGCAAGCAGAATTTACTTTTTGACCTTTTTTATTATTTAAAGAACAGCCTGGGAGGTTGGCCCAGCGGTTTTTATATTGGACATTGTTAAATTTGATAAAACTATGTTGATGTTGCTTAGTTAAAAACTTACTGCAGACTATTTTATGTTATGTTAAAATGCAATCTACTTAGATTTGTGCTTATTTTGTGAGGCATAGTGTTACTGCCCTTTTGTATTTTGTGTGCGATTGCTTCGCCTTTCTTTTTTCTCTTCCACCAATTTGTTTTGCAGTCTAAGTTTGTCAGTAAGCATTGAATGAAAATCGAAATTTAATATTACTGATGTAACTATTATGTTTGGGAGGTCCAGGAGTTAGGAAACTTGCCTGTTATGGTAAAGTGGGTTCAGCTGCAGTTCTTGTTGTCAGCTGGGGAAAGGGTGGGTTTAGGAGTGGGTTTATCTTTTTTTCCCTTTCTTTCTTTTTTTCCCTTTGTTACTGTTGTTTTGTTTTTGTTGTGCTTTTTTTTTTCTTTTTGTATTTTTGTGTGCAATCACTTTTATTGCATTTTGTATCCTCATAATGCTTCTAGCCACCTGCTATGTTGGCTGTGCATACTTGGGGGTGGGTTCTCAAAGACTCGATCACGCTTATAGTATTTGTTATTAATATCTCTCATGAGTAACAAGGTAGCAACGCGTGGTGTACTAAAATTCACTAGTTGGAATGTTAAGGGGCTTAACTCCCCGGTGAAGCGAAATAAAGTTCTTAACTACTTAAAACATTTAAATACTAGCATTGCCTTTATCCAAGAAACACACCTTATGCCTGCCGATCATCTAAAGATAAGAAAGGGATGGGTAGGTCAGCTTTACCATTCTAGTTTTCAGAGTAAGTCCCGAGGTGTAGCTATTCTCATCCACAAATCGATTCCCTTTTCAGTCTCTGAGGTTATTTCGGATCCTAATGGGCGTTTTGTTATTCTCAGAGGACAAATAAACGGAGCTCGCTTGGTTTTGGCAAACGTATATGGACCTAATTGGGACGATGAGGCATTTTTCAAAAAAATTTTGTTTTCCCTCCCTGATTTACACTCAAACCAACTAATTCTAGGTGGGGATTTTAACTGTTGTTTAGACCCTCTTCTAGACCGCTCATCTTCCAGACTCTGTGCACAGTCTAAATCTAGTAGGATCATTCAGCTTTTTATGGAGCAATATGCTGTTTCTGATGTTTGGCGCTTTTTAAATCCGAATACAAAAAAATTTTCATTTTTTTCTCCTGTCCATCACTCTTTTTCCCGTGTAGATTACTTTTTGGTTGATAATAATTTGCTTCCATTGATTAGTTCATGTGTTTATAATGCTATAGTAATTTCAGATCATGCCGCTGTTACATTTGATCTGGCTCTTCCTGGCTTTTCAATGTCTAGGCCACCCTGGCGTTTTAACTCCTTACTAAAAGATCCTGAGTTTATAGCAGTTATTAATGATCGTATTGATCTATTTATCTCTACAAATCTCTCTCCAGAAGTTTCACCTAAGACTATTTGGGAGGCATGCAAGGCTTACTTAAGGGGAGAAATTATCTCATATGCAGCATACAAGAAAAAAATAATGAACGAAAGTAGGGTCAAGATTCTTAATTTGTTGTCAGACCTCCAGGCTAAATGTGCTAACTCAACAGACCCTGACCTTTTCGCTCGGTTTCTCACAACAAAGACGGAATTTGATTTGCTTACCACAGATGAGGCAATTGATGCTTTACATAAAACTCATTCCAATTATTATGAATTCGGTGATAAATCAAGTAAATTGCTTGCTCATCAGTTACGTCAGTCTGCAGCTTCACATCATATTACTCAAATCTCCACCCCCACTGGTTTTTCAGCCAACCCACTAACTATTAATGACATGTTTAAAGATTTTTATGCCTCTTTATATACTTCGGAAAATATAGTCGAAGAGGCTCAATTTGACACTTTTTTCAAATTTCTAAAATTACCCTGTATTGATTCTGATATCTCCTCTAATTTGGCAGCTCCACTTGCATTGGAAGAAATTAAGACTGCTCTAAATTTCATGCAGAGTGGCAAGTGCCCAGGGCCTGATGGCTTTCCCGCAGAATTTTTTAGGACATTTTCTGACAAATTGTCTCCTCTTTTACTTAACATGTTTAATGAGTCTTACAGTTCAGGTATCCTTCCTCCTTCTCTCCGACAGGCTATTATTTCCCTTATTCTTAAAAAAGATAAAGATCCCTCCCAGTGCAGTAGCTATCGTCCCATCTCTTTACTTTGTTCTGATGTCAAATTATTAGCTAAAGTTTTAGCAAGACGTTTAGAGACTGTTCTCCCAGCTATAATCTCACCAGACCAAACAGGTTTTATTAAAAATAGACACTCTTTTCACAATATTAGACGCCTTTTAAATATTCTCTACTCTTCTTCTTCAAATGCATCTCCAGAATTAGTTATTTCTATGGATGCTGAAAAGGCATTTGATAGAGTCGAGTGGAGGTATCTGCTTTACACACTGAAGAAATTTGGGTTTCCGGATCAAATTATAACTTGGATTAGACTTTTATACACATCTCCAATGGCCTGTGTACGAACAAATAACAATTATTCTAAATATTTCTCACTTGGTCGCGGTACTAGACAAGGCTGCCCACTCTCCCCTTTACTATTTGCAATAGCCATTGAGCCGTTGGCAATTGCTCTAAGAGCCAGTGCAATGGCTGGCATAAAAAGGGGGGAGTTGGAGCACAAACTGTCTTTATACGCCGATGATCTCTTGTTATACGTGTCTGACCCTTGTACCTCTATTCCTTTGGTTTTGAAATTGCTAGCAGACTTCGGCCTGATCTCAGGATATAAATTAAATTTGAGTAAAAGTGAATTGATGCCTATTAATACAGCAGCCTTGGATTACCCATTAGGTTCTCTACCTTTCAAATCCTCCTTACAAAGTTTCAAATATTTGGGCATAAATGTCACAAAAAGCTTTTCGGACTTATTTGACCTCAACTTTGTCCCATTAGTGAATAATCTTACACAGGATTTTAATCGATGGTCTCTCCTCCCCTTATCTTTGATCGGTAGGGTTAACTGTATTAAGATGAATGTACTTCCTAGATTTCTTTACTTATTTCAATGTATTCCTATTTTTATTCCAAAATCTTTTTTTGTTTCACTTGATTGCTCTATTTCTAGTTTTCTTTGGAACAGAAAAACCCCAAAGATTCGTAAAAGTATTCTTCAAAGAACAAAACAATTGGGTGGTCTAGCTCTTCCAAATTTCCAAATATATTACTGGGCAGCAAATATACGCTCTACTCTATATTGGCTACATTCATGCAAATTAGCGAATCCCCCCTCTTGGCTGCACATTGAGTCTGTCTCGTGCAATAAGTCGTCCTCTTTGGCTGCTCTTTTATGCCTCCCACATACAATGACCCCAATTAAATATTCAAATAATATAATTGTAAAAAACAGTCTCAAAATTTGGACCCAATTTTTGCGCCATTTTGGTTTTCATAATATCTCTTTATTATCCCCAATACACTCCAATCCTCTGTTTTACCCTTCTATCTTGGACAGTGCTTATGCCTCATGGAGAGATCTTGGATTGGCTTCTTTTGGTGATCTTTACATTGACGGTGTTTTTGCCTCTTTTGGTCAGTTGGCCTCTCAATTTAATGTCCCTAAATCCAATTTTTTCAGATACTTACAAACTCGAGATTTTGTGCGCAAAAAATTTGTTAACTTTCCAAATGCACCGCCAACTTCAGATCTAGACACAATACTGGGCATAGATCCCTGTGCTAAAGGTTCAATTTCTAAATTATTTAATATAATTGTTAATCTTCAATTTTCTTCTGATAACTTACGGACCACCTGGTCTCAAGACATGGGAATTGAGATTACAGAGGAGACATGGAAAGCGGTCTTGAACAGGGTTAACTCCTCCTCAATCTGTGCACGTTACAGGCTTATACAATGCAAGGTAGTGCATAGAGCTCATTGGTCCAAAAGCAGGCTAGCTCGCATCAATCCGTCTATAGACCCTGAGTGCGACAGGTGTCATTCTGGTACAGCTACTTTATTTCATATGTTTTGGTCCTGTCCTTCCCTGCTTTCCTTTTGGAGACAAATATTTATCTCGCTATCAGCTATTACCACTGTTGATATCCCACCATGTCCAATTATTGGTTTATTTGGGGTTCTTCCGCCCGACCACACTTTACCCTCTCATTTTGTAGACTTTGTAGCTTTCTTAACTCTTCTGGCTAGGCGATTAATTCTTCTGAACTGGAAGAGCCCACACCCTCCTTCTCACTCTTGTTGGATAAGAAATGTTCTTTATTTTATGAAATTAGAAAAAATTAGGTACTCTCTTCACCGAACTAGCACTATTTTTATTAATTTATGGGAACCCCTTCGCAAATATGTCCAAACTCTTCAGCTTGACCCTGCTCCTTCTGATTGAGTCCCCACCCCCTAATGCCCAGCTTTTATGGGAAACTACTTCTGGTCAACACATTGTAGACTTGTTTTTTATGTATATAAGATTGCACTAGTGTTGTTGTTTTTTATTTTATTTATCTATTTATTTTTATTATCATATTTTTATTTATTACTGTTTATTTATTTTTATTATTACTATTTGCTCAAAATACTCTTCAGTATATTTGCATATTGTTACATGATTATGTCTTTGTAAATTTTTGTAATGTTTCATAATGTATAAATAAAACATTAATAAAAAAAAAAGATGAATAAATTTACAAACAAAAATGAAAAAAAAAAAAAAAAAAAAACTCGACAGAGCAAAAAAATCATCACCACATTTGTTGTGCTATTGGAAGCTGCTCACCTTTGAGAGAGATCTTGGCGTGAGCTTTCCCGTTCTTCTTCCAGTTCTTCTCTTTGATGGAAAACTTGTTGTTCTCATCCATAGAGGATTTGTGCGAGGACAAGGCGCTCTCTGAGATCGGAATGCAGATGTCTAAAGAAACACAACAAAAAAACAAATCCACTGTAGCTTTCTCCAGGTTGGTTTGAAGACATTAGCAGTATTCATACGTCAATTGAACAAGCGTACAGTTGCTGCAGCGGTTTCCCGGACAACACATGTTGTCTCTGTGGCAGCGCTTCTTCCTCCGGCGGCATGACAGGCAGCGGGATGGCGCGTGTTGAGGGCTGTGGCAGTACGTTCCCACCACACACTCTTTATCACTGCTGCATGGATAACCCTGAGAAGCAGACGAAAACATCAGCTGTGGCTTTTTTGCACACTGAATAAAGCTACTTATATGGGCTGAATTTACATAAACAAAATTAAACGTAGTAATGCTCAACTTAATTTGTTTAAATTCAGCCCATATAAAGAGTTTGCAACCAGTTACCTCAACAACAACAAAAATTAATTTTCCCAATTAATTTTAATCCAATTAATAAATAATTTTTTGCAACACAAAACTCGTATTTAAAGAGATAGTTCGCCAAAATACAATTTAAAAATGGATCCCTGTTTGCTCACCCTCTAAGTCAATTATTTTCTGTGTTGAACGCAAGAGAAAATCTTCTGCAGAATCTGCAAACCATTGACTTGCAAAGTTGTGTTTAAAAACATTCAATAAAGAGTCGATGGCTGCTGGTTTTCAACATTCTTCAAAATATCTTATTTTTGCTTCTAGTGAAGAAACAAACAGGTTTGAAACAGAGGTTAAGCGATGAGAGAATTTTCATATTTGTGCATACTTGTCCCTTTAAAAAGTTACATGTAAAGATTTGTAAGTATTAATGACAACACTTAGACCAGGCCTAAAGTATCTGGATGCAGCCATGATGATGCAAGCTGAGATTGCTTATCTCAGTGATGCATTGTCAGACACAATGCACTCAAGGAGCTAGTGATGTCACTGAGAGGGGTAGGGTTAGGTGTGGGCATTAAAAAGCATTGCATGCAGGCCAACTGCACCAGGTCTGCATCCAGAACTCTCTCCAAAAAAATGCAAAAGGTGTGTAATAAACACTTTAGGTGTTGTAGTTTTGCGGTTCTTATGTCTATATTTTGTGGAAACTGCCATTCAAAATGTCTGTGTTTCGTTTCATAGTGGCGTTTTACATTTCCACTCTTTACAACTCCAATTGTCTCATTAGAAATCAAGCAGGGGTGCGTTTCCCCAAAAGCAGCGTTAGCCAATTAAGGTCGCAAGTTCCATTCTTACAAACATAGTTCGTTGATTTGCCTTTTTTTCAAATCCATCGCTCCAATGAACATTCGCAAACTGCGTTGCAAACTTGAGCACTTGAATCTACACCTCTGGAGCTGTAGTTAGAAACATAGTTCCTGGCTGTGTTCTGTTCCCACTTATCCCCCCTATGCCGTATTCATTTAGAACATTCTAACATTCAAAGTTGCTATTATTAAAAATAAAAAAAGCATTAAAGTCATCTTTTAGCTTTAATTTGCTTTCAAACTATTTTTACAGTTCAGTTTTAGCGATCTTCGTGTTTACAATTGTGCTCTCTTCGCAGTGCACTTCGAAAACATTGATGCCATTTTGAACACAGCCTCGTGACGAAAGCTATAGGCGACCTATTATTTAAAAGCGGAATTTATGATACATCTCCAAAGCTTGTGAAAACAAAAAACATATCATTCGTTGATGCTTTTAAGCTATAGTAGACTATTTATTAAGTGTCTGTACTGTATATGACATGGACCTGTTAGTTAGAACTTTCTGCTGTGGTTTGCATGTCAAATTGTAAAAGTAGACTTTTCTAAAAAAAAAAAAATATTCTAAAAAAATCTAATAAAATAAATAAACAATATCCTACTTAATAATCATCATCATCATCAATATTATTAATATTGTTATTAAAGTAAATATATTTATAATAAATCGCCTCATTATTTATGTATTATATGATTTATATTTGATATTAGAATACGTGTTAGCTTTTGTAAGTGATTTTATGTTTTAGAATATAATATGGAATGTTCTCAGTAATATTTGTAAAGAAAACACAGGCCCTATTTGTGCCATTCACATGTATTTCAATTTATATGGAAAGTGAGTGCATGTTTTTACCAAATCTAATATTGGATTTTATTTTAAATGCGTGTGTGTGTAAAACAATATAATTTGCACAAAGAAATGATGGGGTTCTACTCTAAAGTTGTTATTCCACCCCGTTAGGAGCATCACTATGGGCGTTTTACGCTATAACTAACTTGGTTCAAGCAATGGATCTGCGACAGAGAAACTAGTGGTTTTGGGAAACACTCATCACTACATCGTTCTTTTTCCCAAATGATGCATCGAACTATGATAGTTCAGCCTCGAGTTACGTCGTTGTTTGGAAAACGCACCCAAGAACTCATACTTATCTGTTCAACTTTAAACTGTCGACACTCTTAATCAAGTTTTCTTTTCCATGAAACGGATATCTTCATCTATTCAAATTATTGCATTGCTGCAGTGCATTAGAATTAAGCATGTGCGCGTGTGCGATTAGCCCACTCGTTCACATAAAGCCTCGTATGATCACTGGATGTCATGACAGAGTCACGCAGAAAACCCATATTTTTTAAAACAATAATACAAACAAATAAACTGCTGATTTACAAGCTTTATGCATTAATCAATCAAGCAAATCCACAATTTGAATCTTTTACGTATGGTCTAGCAATACGAAATGGAGTCGGGTGCGAACTAAAAACCGTTTTAATGTCTAAATATCAATGGAAGTAAATGAGACCAGAAGTCCCGAGCTAAGAAGATTCCAACGGCTGCGTCCGCTATTGTATCAATATTGTAATGCTTGTTATAAACTAAAGTATGTATCTGCAAGCTACATTATTTTGTGAAAATGTATTTGTCCTCAGGCTGATTCTAAAATACGTACCCCTATATACATTTCTGGAGATCGCTTAATACGTCACTGGAGGTATGTTTTTTTTTTGTTGCCATTTTTGTTTTCACGAATCCACCCGAGGCCGCTGTGTATGCTTTTTGAGATCTCAAATTTCTCACAAGAGTACCATTCGCGCCTGCTCTTCTCGCATAAATCCACCAGAGGCCGCTGTCAACTGACTGGCTGACTGTCCAATCGACTGACCCACCCTCCTCCTTCCCTAAACGCAACCTATAGTGTTTTCAAAAGCACCGATTGACAGTGGTGGGCGACACTTCCCTACACCCAACCAATAGTGTTTTCAAATGCATTCAATAATAAGCAGATTTTTACCACGTTTTTAGATTTGACCACATTCTCACCCTGTTATTTACTTGTTTAATAGTTTTTTTTGGCTTTAGTTATTGTCTTACCTGCTTTCTGAAACCATTCTTTGCCAGACTCAAACCCTATCGTTGCGGTCAACTCAGTTCCACCTAACAAGTTCCCTGAAATATGCGGCGAGCCACAGGACATACTGATAATAGTGGAAAAGCCGTCTACAAAGAGGTAAGCGGTAATCGCAAAAAGGAACGACATCATACCGCCACATAGTGTTCGTTTTAAAGTTTAAATGCAGCCATATGTACCTCTGGCTACATACCTTGCGATCTCCAGAATTGTATATAGCGCTACGTTTTCAGAATGTTGCTTATATCATAACATTGCTCCCTGTCGAAACAACATTTAATTTTCTTTAGACTTGGATAAACTATCTATGCAGCTGCCATATGGTTATTGCGATACTAATATCACGATAATTATATGATGGAGGTAGATTTTTTTGCAGTTTTTGTTTTCGCAATTCCACAAAGAGGCCGCTGTGCACCCTTTTTGAGATCTCAAATTTCTTCCATGAGTGTCATTCGCGTCTGCTCTTCTCGCATAAATCCACCAGAGGCCGCTGTCGACTGACTGGCTGACTGGACATATTGGTACTGGTGGAAAAGCTGTCTACACAGAGGTAAACAGTAATCGCAAAAAGAAACAACATCATACCGCCACATAGCGTTCGTTTTAAAGATGAAATGTAGACATATGTATCTCTGGCTACATAATTTGCGATCTCCAGAAATGTATATAGGGGTACGTTTTTAGAATGAGCCTGTGTTGTTTTTCTAATAGCATTTCCTCCCCTGTCGAAACGACTTTAAATTTTTTTTAGACTTGGATAAACTACCTATTCAGCAGCACACAAATGCTTGCATTTTGCTGCCATATGATTATTGCATTGCTAATATCGCGATAATGATATTTGATAAATTGTGCATTGCAACTGAAGATGCAGTCATATTTACGGTTGTTCTGCAAATGTTCATGCTCAAAATCCACTCAATTAGGAATTTCCCCACACACATTTCAAAACAGATTTAAGTTCATGCTGTTCTACTTGGTTTGGAAGCGATTTCTGCCTGAGTCTTTTTAACCCGTCAACATGATGTGCACTAACAGGTCACAGAAGTAAAAACTGTCTTATAAATAAGAGGATAAGCGATGAAGTAATTTCATCAAAAACAGAAAATAATCAAATTTATTAGATTCGATTACTCCAACTCTGGAACCACAGTATCAGCCATTACTCATCTCTGTCGCCAGTCATATTTTATTTCATCTTTTATGTGACGGATGAAACTTTTGGATGAAACCACATTCATAACATATGCTGTGCTTCCCCTAATAAGCTTATTAATGACGGTAATGTGATGAAAATACAGCATTCTGCAACACACAGTCAAAATAATTATTTTGCAGCTTGTTGAAACTACTTGTTTAAAAGGAGTTGAAACAACATAATTCATAAGTTTTTTGGGACAACTTAACTGTATTATATTCAACCCACTTAAATTTGTAAAAACGATTTAGTTAACTTAATCAATTTGTGTTAAGACAACATAAAGAAATTATACAGTACGTACACTGTAAAAAAAAAAGCATGGTTCCACACACAAAACCATTAAGTTAATGTAACAAACTTAAATAGATCGAACATAAAACAATTAGGTTTGCCAAAGAAATCTCCAGAACTGTGTTGTTCTCACTTTAAATAAGTAATTTGAACAAGCAGCAAGTCGTTCAAAGGTTGCTTAACCGTTTTCTAAAAGGATGACAAGCTGACAAAACACTGCTGTCACTATAATACAACAGTTATTTATGGAGAAAATTACAAAGCATTGTAGTATTGGGGTGCTCTGTGTTTGTAAGAGATAATTATTCCGATTTGTGTATATTCCATACAAGCTGAAGCTGATCGGTCAGTTCTTGTCACATGACTCGCTGTCAGCCTTTAAGC